AATAAATATTTTAAAATAATTATTGTTTACTTTATTTTATAAACATGTTTAAAGTTAACAATAAAAGTGTATTTTATTAATAATACATTTCTGTTTGCAGTTCTTATGAATGTTTAAAAGAAAAAATTTTGACAAATCAAACATTTACTAATTTTTTTAATATAAATAAAAAACACATAAAAAAAGTTAAGTTTTACAAAAAGAAATTAATTTTGTTTTTAACAAAAAAATCTGTATGATTGAACATGATTTGTTAAATATGTAATTATTTTTTGTTGAAAACGTCAAAAATCCTATAAACCAATCATCCCGAAGTAATAGCCCAAATGTGGTTGTTATAACGCATCCACCAAAATCGATCCATTTACAACAACTTTTTAGGGTGATCTTCCAATATTTTGAAAAAATAACCCAAATTTATTTCAAGTTCCCTATTTTTTGTTTTACTATACTTTTAATTTAACTACCAACATAAAACTATACTTGGAATATCGGAATACATTTTGTAGATCAGAGTGTAAATTACTCATCATAACTATGTATCATTAACAAGATCATTTATCTAATACCGTTATAAAAAACAATTTAAAAAAAACAGTTTTGTTTTGATATTTTTAGTATGTTATTTAACGAGTTGTTTTTTAATAAGGAGCAAATATTAACGAACTAATTTAATTGAAATCAATGTATTCAATTAAGTAAAAAAATTAAGGATATTATGAATAAATTGGTGTGTAAATTAAAAATGTTAAATTATAAAAAATAATGTTAATAAAAGTATTATTATTAACATATTGAATGATTAAAATATTGTGGCAGATGACAACATTTGGTAATATTATTTTTTAAAAAAATTATTAATTTAAAATAAATTCTTTTTTAATGACAAGATTGAATTATTTTACTAAAAATATTTGTATCCAGCTAAAAAGCGTGTATCCACTGGATGGACGCTTATCCGGCGGATAGACGTCCATCCACTAGTATGCCTTTATTAAACCATTATAACGTCAAGTTAATAATTAATGTGTTTTTTTATATTTTATATTTTATATTCAATTTTTATATTAAATAATTATATTAAAATATTTACATTAATAATAGAATAAAAAATTTCAATAATATATAATAAATTATGAACAAGTATTATTTTCTACAAGTTAAATATGGTCTTTTATGTATTCTAATAAATTAGAACTCAATAAAATCATTTAAATGAACCCGTTTAATACAAACAATTTAAATATATAAGGTTTTATAAACACGAAGTTATATTTTTTGACTTTAATAATACACATTTAAATAAAAAATCAATTAAACAAATGAACGATATAAATGAATTAAATGTGTTGCCAAATGAAAAAGATTTTAGTTTGTGTCTATGTTCGTGCAATCTACAAAGATGTCAACTTTACTTTTTGCCTTCATAATCACAAATAGTTGTAAAGCGAAAAAAAATTATTCTTCATACAAAGATAATCGAAAAATTCATTATAATTATTATTTGATCATTGATGAAAACCGTGCTTTAATTGCTTTATTCAAAAAAGCGGACAACATATCACATAAAATATTTTTATATTCAAAAGCCAACCCAACCATTGAAAATAACAAACACGATCTTTATGAAAATTACTTTAATGGGCATGCTAAGATGAAAAAATACAAAACAAAATTTGATGATTTTGATCAAAAACACACAACAGAAAAAATGAACCAAATCACTACTAAAGAAAACCAATCTGTATATATTATTGTTACCGATCATATGAAATGTATATTAAATCGGATACAAAAACTTTAAGTTATACAAATACACTGATACCATCAACAAATATTAATAAAATTAATAAAAATGACACTTTGTATAACAAAAGTGACGAGAGTGAAATTGACCAAATGTTGATTAATGAAATTTCGAGTGCTGAAAGATTCTTTGAAAAACAGAAAAATAAAGGGCTGATTAGTACCTATAATGATGATGATGATGATGAATTATTAAATGCACGTTAAACATTCAAATGTGTATTGGAAAGCACCAAAAACAATAATTGGAAAAGTTGTACACTTTTGAAGATGGTGATTTTTTGTATTTGATAGAATTGATTACAAAGAAATTGATATAGATGCAGTTTTAGAATCAATAAAAAGGTTTTTTATGATCACGACAACAATTTTGTATTAGAAAGTCATTTTGTCGTTTTTGATTATTTATTTAGAAAAACGTGTAATATCACTGATATCAAAAACTTAAATCTGTCAAAATTACGCAAAGAAAAGGATGTGATTATGTCATAAACGGTGAAATGGTTTAAGCTCGCCTAAGTGCTGAACAAATAAGAGCATTGAAGCGGTGTGCATTTATTAAACACACAACATTGAGTAAAGAATCTCATAAACCAAAAAATTGGCTCGAGTATTTAAAGCCAATGAAATAGAGAAAGAAAAACTTAAGGCCATAAATGTGGGGGAAATGTTTAGCAATTTTCATTGATTATACTACAAAAACGAACAAGAAATATTCTGTGTGATGTTAAGATTGGTCAAAGAAAAAAGTGTTATGCTATGCCTCTTATATTAAATCAATATAAAGGCGAAACAGATGCAAAAACACTTGCTAAATGGATCATTAGAAAAATTGAAATTTTGGGGTTGAACACTTATAGAATAGTGAATTGTACTATTGATGGAGCTGCTACTTGTGCTGGATTAGATGGCGGGATTACAGTTGAAATGAATAACGTGATCGGTGTAAATGATTTAACGGAGCTTTCTTTGATAGAAAGTGAAATGAAAAATTTTTGGTGTGCAACTTACAGAGTAAATTTGATGTATAATTACTTGAAAATTAGAAATAATTGACTTTTGAGCTTGTGGTGTGATAAATAAATGAGTTACAAAATTTTGAATGCGTGGTTCAATAAATATTAAATGTGTTATTTGAATTGTATTTTATTTTTTATGTAGTTGTTTGGCTATTATTATATTAACACGTTATATTGTCAAACAATTTAATTTTTAATTGTGTTACAAAATATCAC